TTCAGATTAGGGAGTCCTCTGACAAGATTAAGTTTATTAATCTGAGATATATGTCTCATATTAATATGGCCCAATCTTCTGTGCCATACCCATTGCTCTTCATTAACAGACAAGAGGCATTTAACATTTTGAACTTTAAGTTCTGAAAGATTTATTTTATAAATGTTGTTTTTCCTCTTACCACTAAATAGGATAGAGCCATCCTTTTGACTAATAACTTTACAACATTTTTGATTAAAGGTAATATCATAACCATTGTCACTTAATTGAGTTATGGACAATAAATTATGCTTTAACCCTTCAACAAGTAAAACATTAGTAATATAGGGAAGTTTACCATTTCCAATGGTGCCAGATCCAATGATCTTGCCCTTCTGGTTCCCTCCAAATTTCACATCACCTCCAGATCTAAGCTCCAGGCTTTGGAACATAGACCTTTCTCCTGTCATGTGTCGTGAGCATCCAGAGTCCAGGTACCATGATTGGCGTCCTGACCTTGCTGCTAAGAATATCTGCAACAAGAATTATTTTACTTTTAGGTACCCAAATCTTCTTGGGTCCTTTAGGGTTAGTTGTTCTGAAGGTTTGTCTAAACTTCTGTTTTTCAACATAAGGTTTATTCTGACTAGCCTTAGATTTAAACACATGAATATTCTTTTCAGAGCATGTTTGTTCAATATCATTCAAGTGACCAAATTTAAAGTGTGAATATAAAGGAGTTTTCTTGATGATAATTTTATCAACAGGTTTTGGATTTAAATCCTTTCCAGAGGAGGATTCATATCCAATTCCTTTTCTGTTATTTCTGCTAACTCCATAGATCATATAAGCCATTTTGCTTCTGTCTATGCTTTTAGCAAGAAACTTCTGAAAGCTATAATCATATTTTTCCAAAATATTTTTGCATTCAGATTCAGTTTCAGAATCAGAGTTTTGTTGAGCTAATTCAGAATCATTTTTCAATTTTAAGTTCTTTTCATTTAGCTCAGCTACTTCTGATTTGAGAATATTATTCTCAGATACAAAATTGCTTTGACGCTTCTTGTATTTGAGTTTAATATTGTTATAGCTTTTCAGAACTTCTGATAACACTTTGATAAGTTCTTCTTTAGTGAGTTTAGCCATTACCTCTTCAGCGTCAGAGTCAGATTCAGATCCTGAAGTTCCTTCCTCCTGATCTTCTATGTCTGCCATCAAAGCTACATTGGCACATTCCTCTTCTGACTCAGATTCAGATGTATCTGAATCATCCCAGGTGGCCATTAGAACCTTTTTCTTCTTATCAAATTTTCTTTTAGGCTTTTCTTTCAGTATCTTTGGACATTCATTTTTGTAATGTCCAGGTTCTTTACATTCATAACAGACAACCTCCTTTTTCCCAGATCTTCTATGTCCAGAAGATTCTTTTCTTTGGTCAGGCTTCCTGAAGTTTCTGAACTTCTTTCCTTTATGCTTCCAAAGTTTGTTTATTCTTCTGGACAACATGGATAGTTCATCTTCATCTTCAGATGAGGATTCTTCAGAGCTTTCCTCTATTACCTGCAATGCTTTAGCAGATTTATTAGATTTTAAAGCAACAGATTACCTTTCTTTTGAGGTTCATCTTCCTCAAGCTCAATTTCATGACTTCTTAGTGAAATGATTAGTTCCTCCAAGGAGATCTTGTTCAGATCTTTAGCCATCTTCAGCGCAGTCACCATAGGTCTCCATCTGGTAGGTAAGCTTCTGATGATCTTTTTCACATGATCAGCAGTAGAGTATCCTTTATCCAGAATCTTTAGTCCAGCTGTAAGTATTTGAAATCTGGAGAATATAGCTTCAACAGATTCAGAGTCTTCCATTTTGAAGGCTTCATACTTCTGGATCAGAGCCAGAGCCTTTGTTTCCTTGACTTGAGAGTTTCCCTCATGAGTCATCTTTAAGGATTCAAACATGTCAAATACAGTTTCCCTGTTTGTAATTTTTTCATACTCAGTGTGAGATATTGCATTCAACAATATTGTTATGGCCTTGTGGTGATTTCTAAATTCTTTCTTCTGAGCATCTGTCATAGATTTTCTGTCTATTTTCTTGCTATTCCCATCAGTGGGATGAACATATCCATCTATGACCAGATCCCATAAATCAACATCATATCCAAGGAAAAAACTTTCAATCCTGTCTATCCAATAATCAAATTTCTCCCCATCAAACATAGGGGGTTTGGTGCTGATTCTGTCCCTTTCTTCATATTTGTTGTTAATGTTAGACATTGTATTATCAGCCATAGTAACAACCAAATATATATCAAAGTATTTCTCACTGGATCTTTACTGTCACTGTTAAGTGGTAGCACACACAGAACCGGAGCTCTGATGCCAACTGAAGGTGAGAAAATACTTAGAAGGGGGGGTTGAATAAGTAAGAAGATAAAACTTAGAAATAAAAACTCAAGTATTTGTATCCTGGTTCGTTGAACTCAACTACTCCAGTCCACCCTTCCTAGAGTGATTTGCCTTTCTCAATCAAGGACTTAATCTACTATTTAATCAACTGATTACAATAGTAAGCACTAAGAACAACTGTTCAAAGTCTTCTCAAGAACTACTGATCCTAACTGGATCTTCTTAAGGTTTATAATCAAATGTAATACAAATACAAGTGTTTAAATTGCTTCTAGAAAGCTTTATCACAACTGTGATTTTTCACTTAAATATTAAGAACAAAGAAATTAATTCTTAGAAAGAATATGAATAGTATGAGAGCTTTGAATATTGATTTCTTTTGGATAAAACGTCAACTGAAGAAGTTGGGTGAATACTTGCTTTTATAGGCAGCTGATCCAAGGAGAGCTTCACGTTGAGAAGAGTGTCCAAAAGGTCTGAGCCTTTTTGTCTTCACATCAAGTGACCTTTTCTAGAAGAAGAAAGCACAAAAAAATCCTTTTTGTCTGTGTTCTTGTGTCTAGCATAAATAAGGAAAGAGTCGTTTGGATCATTCCAACGGATATAATCTTTGAATAATTCTTCTTCAATTTTCAGCAAATTTCATCAGAGTCTAATTTGATCAGAGCCTTCTGATGTTGATCAGAGTTTTGCTGAATCAGAGTCTTCTGCAGTAGGTGTGCTTTTAGCGTGTTTAAGATCAGAGCATATTTGAGTCAGATCCTCAGTACTGGCAGCTTTAGTACTTTCAGAATCTTTTGTAGTAACTATGCTTTGAAAACTCTTCACACAGAATTCTTCTTTGGTTCAGATGCTTCTGACTTGCTTCAGATTCTTCTGGAGGCTACGCTCAGGATCTTCTGTTGGCAACATACAAAATCTTCTAATGGTTGCATCTGACGCTTCAGAGTCTAGCAAATTTCTTATGTTCAATTCTGATTTGCTTCTGGAGTGTTAATTCCTTTACTATCTGCAGTAAAAATTCTCAAGCAAATTTTAGAGTATATAATTCTTAATTACAAAATTTCATAATAGTTATCATCAAAACATAGAGATATTATTAAGAACCAATCTGTGTTCTAACAGTTCTACGATGTCGACAGGTCGAGATTCCACTAGGGAATCTCCGACTTCTCTATGTCTAGAACCTACCATGTATACGACGACAACTAGTCGAGATCCCACAAGGGCTCTCTGACCTCTTTATGTCTAAAACCAACCAAGTTATACGACGCCATCAGGTCGAGATCCCACTGGGGCTCTCTGACTTCTCTATGTCTAGAATCTACCGGGTTCTATGATGACAAAATGTCGAGATCTCACAGGGGTTCTTTGACTTCTCCATGTCTAGAACCTACCAGGTTCTACGATGCCGCCAACTCAAGATCTCATTCGAACTCTTTGATCTCTCTACACCACGAATCTACCAAGGTTCTCCGACTTCTTCATTAAAATCATAGCTTCTTTCGATTTCATTTAAGTCATAAATCTTCCCAATATGTGCTAGGATGAATCCTACAGGAAGTGATACACCATCAAGACCACTAATTTATGGTAGCTCACTCGATCAGAATGCGTAAAATTAAAATGCGCATAAATCAAGTTTGTGCAATCCAGGATAAACTCAAAACACTTCACCCTTACATGTCGTCGTGCTTTGGGGGCTTATGTACAAACCGAAAATTTGCAGCTTAGCCGGAATATCTATTTTTAGTGTTGGTTGAGGTGGTCGTGCGAGAGCCCGGGTGGAACACATAGCTTATCCTCTGATAGACGCCGGATGGCCTGATAATAGCCCACCCTAATGATTAAGAGGCAAACTAAGAGTCGCATGGAGGTTACGAAATTGATGTTTGAACCGTTACCTTGAGCATTCAAGCATGAGAAATGTAGGGGCAACTCATTAAGTAAAAGACTAATTTAACCATTAAATTGAATTCAATTTAAAAACTATGATTTAAAATAAATTAAAAAAAAAACTTACTCTTAAAATAAGTTGATCCTCTCTTTTTCCCTCTCAATTGCTATTAGAGGTACGGTAATAACTACTAAAAATTTGCCTTTCATTAATTGAAAATTTTAAAATAAAATAAAACAAATTGTTTACTCGGACTAAATCCAAAGAGAAATAATATATTGATAAATGATGAAAATGAATAAACTTCATATCACTATTTCGTTCAATCTAGTTTTGAATGATTCAAACAATAAACTATTATTTCATTTCATTTTCTTCCGCGTCTCTCTATATGATTTCATCAAACGAACCTTAGTTTTTTTGTCACGTTTAAAAGAGATTCTGCCCATTGAAAACCTAAACTCTGTAAATTCTGTTAATTGATTGATATGGCCTAAGTTGCCTTTTCTAACTAGTTAAACTAAAAGTGAAAGAAAAAAAAGAGTAGTTTTCTTCTTTTGTATATAAAAAAAGTGTTTGTTTGACTTGACTCCAAAAATCATTTTTGAGACCAAAATTCAACCCAATTCTCCCGCTAATCTCGCCTCTTCCTACAACTTACACCAAACATTCCCCCAAACCTCATTCATTCTCACTCCTTCAACTAACACAACAGCACAATGATTCTAATTCTACCCAATTTCCTCTTCTTCTTTTCCATCATCATCACTACCACCATCTCTACCTCAACCCCGTCCTATCCTTACGGTAACTAAGCTAACCACACCACTCTACTCTACTCATTCACTATATTTTCTTTTATTACACATTAACCCTTCAACTTATATTATTTATATTGCAGGTTTGTCCTCCTACCACATTAACTGCGGCACCTCAACTAACTTAACCGATTCCTTCAACACAACATGGCTCTCCGACCGTTTCTTCACCGGCGGATCCACCTCCGACGTCTCCGAGCCTCTCCGCTTCAAACTCCCCTCCGAGAAAACGCTCCGATTCTTCCCGTCTTCTTCCAATGGCAAAAAAAACTGTTACTCTTTTTCTTCTCTTCCCTCTGCACGTTACCTTCTCCGCACCTTCACCGTTTACGATAACTACGACGATAAGTCACGTCCTCCGTCGTTCGATGTTGCCTTCTCCGGTACCATCATTTTCAACTGGCGGTCTCCCTGGCCTGAATCCACAGCTCAATACGGGGCTTACTCTGACATATTCGTCTTCCTCAACACTTCATTACCCGCTGATCTTTGCTTCTATGGCTTCGCCACCGATGCTCCGATCGTCTCTTCTATTGAGCTTTTTCCTGTTGATTCTACTTCATATGATTCTCACTCCACCGGAGAGAATCTCATTCTTGTTAACTACGGTAGAATCTCATGCGGTTCCGATGATCCTTGGGGTCCTGGCTTCACCAACGACACTGACAAATTTGGCCGGTCATGGCAACCGGACAAACAATTCCTATCTGGACCGGATGAAACCGTTGAAGATGTGTCAACGGGGAACACCATAGGCGGTGCTGATAAAGAGCCTAACTATTTTCCGATGAAGCTTTACCAAACGGCTGTGACGTCAGAGGTGGGGTCGTTGGAGTACGAATTGAGTGTGGACGCGAAGATGGATTATATGGTGTGGCTGCACTTTTCTGAGATTGATACTAGTGTTAAAAGAGCTGGAGAAAGAGTGTTTGATGTGTTCATCAATGGAAAGAATGCAACCAGAGTTGATATATACAAAGAAGTGGGTGGTTTTACCGCTTTTACTTGGCATCACGTTGTCAAAAACTTGAGCAGTAACACTTTGGGGATTAAACTCATTTCTGTTTCTGGTGCCCCTCTTATTAGTGGCATTGAGAATTATGCATTGGTACCTAATGAACCTTCAACTCACCCTCTTCAAGGTCTCTCCTTTCCATTATTTGTATTTTATGGACTAGGTTGAACTAACACTTCAGGTGTGTCTAATGTTCGACACGTGTGAACATCCAACCGACACTTGGATGTTCGTGTCTATGTGTTAGTGTTAGTGTCGTATTCAGTGTTTGTGTGTGCTTAATAGCTTATGGGCGATTGTTTTGTAGTGAGTGCTATGAAGTCGTTGAAAGAATCCCTTCGAATTCCGGGAAGAATGGGATGGAATGGTGATCCTTGTGCTCCTACAACTTGGGATGCTTGGGAAGGTGTTACCTGCCGTATCAGTGATGATAAAACTGCTCTTCTCATTACTGAAATGTAATCCATTCTTTCCACTTCTCTGCTATTTTGTTCTTACTTATCATCACTATCAGCTCTCAACTTTCAACCCTTAAATTAAATCTATTAACAATTCACATTTTATGTTCTAAGTATGTGCTGAATACATAATTTGTACTATTATGCATGATGCTTTTTACCATATCTAAGCTTCTGCTTTTGATCAAGTGTAAGGTTCAATTGGTAAATAAATTGATAGGTGATATAACATACATTTGATATCTTGTTTGAACATTTAACATTGCTTATATAGTTAAATTTATGAACAAAAATCAGAAAATATGACAAGGTTCGAGTTAGAAATGGTTTTTTCTTCAGACAATAGCTTATCTTCCTTATTTACTTTCCTCTCCCAGCAGAGCTTTGATATTATATTTGTTCTTGTTATCATTTCAGAAATCTTGGCAGTCAAGGCTTAAAAGGGAGCATAAGTGATCAGATTAGTCGTTTATCAGACTTAGTTAGCCTGTAAGTATGATCAGCTGCCAAATTTCCTTACATCATGCATACCTTGCGGCTTTGATGTTTTAAGGTTCACGCAATACTGACATGCATTACTTATGTAATCTTCCCCACGTTTAGTGGTACTCTTGCTTATATATATGTTCTTGCAATTGTCACAGTATGAAGTTATTTTATATAAATTAAAGTATTGTCTTCTGATATGGTAAACTGTATTGATAGAGTACTGAAGTACAATAGCACCTCACTTGAATTTAACCGAGGAATGAACAGAACACTTCAGCCTGTGCAAGGATTTCAGTGTTTTATGAGCCATGCTTAACGCTTTCTGAATTTTTTAGTCCTTGATATCTTTATTAGAGTGGTAGATATGGCAAAGTATATTAGAGAAAACATAAGAAAGGAAAGAGAGAGTAATAGAATACTACAAATTCTACTAGCTGTACTAGCACATGGGTGGGACAGCTGACATTTGGTGAGTTGAGAGAGAATCTAAGGATTTTTCAATAAACGATTGGTGGCTGACACTAGGGCTGGAAATGAGTCGAGTCGAGTCGAACTCACCTCAGCTCGGCTCGACTCGTTAAGAATTGTTCGAATTCGAGTTCGAGTTCGAGTTCGACACGAACTTTTTTTTAAGCTCAAACTCGACTCGTTATAAGTTCACGAACAGTTCGGTTCGACTCGTTAGGTTCATCTCATTAGGTTCAGCTCACATGGTTCACGAACTTAAAAACTATTTTTTTAAATATATATATTTTTTAGTATATTTGACATTTTAAATAAATATATATTTTTTAAATAAAATATTAAAATAAAATAAAAGTTATCATATTGAAATTTAACTTTATCTTCGAAATCTACTAATTCAAAACCTACACAACTTTCAAGAGATACATTTGAGAGTCTAATTCAAAAACTACTAAATTGAAGATTAAATTTGTCTAAGATTTGAAGTAAATATTTAAACCTAATTTTAAAGACAGTATAATTCTTTTCATATGTAATCGAGTTGACTCATGAACCTAACGAGTCGAACTATGTATAGTTCAAGTTCAGCTCATTTAGTTAACGAACTTAATTTTTCGCTCATACTCAACTCATTTGGTTCATGATCCTAATTCAACGATTTAATTGTCGAGTCGAATTCCGAACTATCTTCGAGTTGGTTTGGTTCATTGCCAGCCCTAGCTGACACCAATGAGGGTATGCAGAATTTAGTGGAGACTAGGCTTCTCTAAGAGCCTCCTTATCCTTTTCTTTTTTTCTGCACAATTCTGTTTTCCCTAAATGACTAGATCTTGTTTGATCTCTAGTCCTTTTCATTAAAAGTTCATAACTTTCCTACTGAATATTGTTATTCTGTTTTTATTCTCTTGTTTATCTGCTGTTAGATATTAAATTGAACCTATCAATTTGGTATCTAGAGCCTTGGTTTCGCCTGCGCAAGTGGGTGGTTGTTACAAGAAGCACTATGGAAAACAGAGTAGAAGCCATAGAACAAAGGATGAGCAATTTTGAAGTCACGATGGACCACATCCGACAGCTGGTGATGGACCAACAGTCACGGCTGCAGGTCACAGTGGAGGAGATTCGCCAGCTGATTCAAGAGAGCCCAGTTCGTAATCATGTAAGACACTAGAGACACCGTGTTCGTGGGGCCGATGAAGAGGAAAGGGACGAATGGAGTGAACGAAGTACTATCTCAAGAGAATCACGACCACACCATCGTCGTCATGGTGGTGAAGGTCATTCTCGGTTTGTTGGAGGTCATCAAAGGGTGGAGATTCCAGTTTTTAAGGGGGACAACGCGTATGGGTGGCTAGTATGCATCGAAAGGTACTTTCACTTGAATGGAGTAAGGATTCAAGACAAGCTGGATGAGGTAGTGTTGGCAATGGAGGAAAGAGCTCTAAATTGGTATCAATGGTGGGAGGAACAAGCACCCTTGAGGACGTATGAGGAGTTCAAAATAACTGTGATGAGAAGATTCCAACCTGGGCTCTTACACAATCCTTTAGGTCCCTTGTTGAGTTTGAAACAAAAAGGGGTCAGTGGTGGAATATAGGGAGAAGTTTGAGATGATGGTAGCACCATTAAGGAGGGAAGAAAGAGTCATGCTGGACTCTATTTTTCTGAATGGTTTGAAAGATGAGATTCAAGCTGAATTGAAGCTTCATGAGAGCCAAGATTTGACTGAGTTGATGGATAGAGCTTTGCTCATTGAAGAAAAGAATGAAGTGATGCAAAAGAAGGGAAGTTCTTGGAGAGAAAGGGGAGGGAATCTAAGGATCAAGGATCCTGGAGATATAGAAGGGCCTAGGAAAGAGGGTGAAAGGGCAAGTGGTGGAGGAAATGAGAAGTATAAGGGCAAAAGATTGGATCCAACAGAATTAGAAGAAAGGAGTAAGAAAAGACTTTGTTTCAAATATGGGGATAAGTGGAATAGAGAGCACATTTGCAAATTCAAACACATGAATTTGAAATTGTGTGAAAACAGTAGTGAGGAGGAGGAAATAGGAGGGATAAGAATACAAACAGAAGAGTGAGAGAAAGAAGGGGAGGAATTTAAGACTTTGCAACTGTCCATGCAAAGTAAAGAGGGGTTTACTTCCAACAAATCTTTTAAAGTTTGGGTGACTATGGAGGGTAGAGAGCTGCTAACTTTGATTGATTCTGGAGCTACTAGCAACTTTATTGACCCCAATATTGTGGCTGAATTAGCTGTGAAGGTAGTTGAAACTCCAACCTATGTAATAGAAGTGGGAAATGGAGAAAGAGTTACCAACCAAGGGATTTCTGAAAGGTTGAAATTCCTTATACAAGAAGTGGAATTTAGTCAACATTTCTTCTTGATGAAGTTGGGAGGGACAAACATGGTGCTAGGGATGGATTGGTTGGCAAGTTTAAGAAATATTGTAGTTAATTTTTGGAGAACTCAGTTTGAAGTGGGAAAAAGATGGAAGGAAGTTTAGTATCAAGAGAGATCCAGCTCTATGCACCGAACAAGCATCATGGAAAGTCATGGTCAAGGCCCTTAGTGATGAAGGGGTGGGATTTTTTGTTCATTCAAAGGGGGCAGAGGTGGTGAACCATCCAATGGAGGAGGATGGTTGGGAAGATCTGTTGAGTTCCTTCAAGGAGGTGTTTAATCTACCAGCTAAACTTCCTTCTATAAGAGAGCATGACCATGCAATTACCCTCAAACCTGAAGCTGTTATTCCTAATTTGAGGCCTTACAGGTACCCGTTTTATCAGAAGAATGAGATTGAGAAGATAGTGAGGGAAATGCTCCAAGCATGAATTATCAGGCATATCACCAGTACTTTCTCCAGCCTTATTCTTTTAGTGAAAAAAAAAGATGGTGTATGGAGATTTTGCACTGATTATAGGGCCTTAAACAAGGCCACTATCATTGAGGAATTGTTGGATGAATTAGGGGGAGCTGTGACTTTTTCTAAACTGGACTTGAAATCAGGCTATCATCAAATTAGGATGAATGAGGGAGACATAGCCAAGATAGCATTTAGAACCCATGAAGGTCACTGTGAATACTTAGTGATGCCTTTTGGGTTAACTAATGCTCCTTCAACATTTTAAGCTTTGATGAATGAAGTGTTGAGGCCCTTCCTAAGAAAATTCTGTTTGGTTTTCTTTGATGACATCTTGGTGTACAACCGGAGTAGAGAAGAACACTTGAAGCATTTGAAGTGGGTTTTGCAAGTGCTTTTTGACCAGAAGCTGTTTGCAAACAAAAAGAAATGCTCTTTTGGAAAGTAGGAGATTGAATACTTGAGACATATCATATCTGGCAGTGATGTATCAGCTGATCCTAAGAAGGTAGAAGACATGCTGAAATGGCCTGTCCCTCAGAATGTAAAGGGGTTAAGAGGATTCTTGGGCTTAACAAGGTATTACAGAAAGTTTGTAAGGAATTATGGGAGGATTGCATGGCCTCTTACTCAGTTACTCAAGAAGGATAACTCTATATGGAATAATGAAGCTCAAGCAGCTTTTGAAGAACTCAAAGTTGCCATGACCACTGTCCCAGTTCTAGCTATGCCAGATTTTGAAAAGGAGTTTATTGTGGAGACTGATGCTTCAGGGAAGGGAATACGGGCTGTCTTAATGCAAGGAGGGAGATCTATATCCTATATGAGTCAGACTTTATCTGACAGGGATCAGAAAAAATCAGTCTATGAGAAGGAGTTAATGACTATTGTGATGGCTACACACAAGTGGATGCCCTATTTATTGGATAAACATTTTAAGGTGCATACTGACCAGAAGAGCCTAAAATTCCTCACTGAGCATAAGGTTATGGGGGAGGAGCAACAAAAATATTTATCTAAGTTATTGGATTTGATTTTGAAGTTAAATATAAGCCAGGAAGGGAGAACAATGCTGCAAATTCCTTATCTAGACAAATGATGTATAATCACCTCACCACCATGCAATGTGAAGCTTGGGAGGGTTTAGAAGAGGAAATACAACAGGATGGTAAGTTAAAGGCTATAGTGCAAGTCCTGTTGATAGATCCTGCTAGCCATGAAGGGTTTTACATGAAAGGAGGAAGACTGTACCATGAAGGGAGAATAGTGATTCCAAAACAATCCCCAAGGATTGCTTGGATACTTAATGAGTTTCATGATACAGCTCTAGGAGGGCATTCTGGCCAGTTGAGAACTTATAAGAGAATTGCAAGTGTGGTTTACTGGGAAGGAAGGAGGAAGAAGATTCAAGAATATGTGCAATCTTGTGAAGTGTGCCAGAGAAATAAATATGAAACAATGAGCCCTAAGGGATTACTCCAACCCTTGCCCATCCCAACCCAGACCTGGAGTGACATTTCCATGGATTTTATTGGAGGGTTACCTAGAGCCTATGGAGTGGATACAGTCCTGGTAGTGGTGGATAAGTTAACCAAATATGCCCACTTTCTACCTCTTAGACACCATTACACAGCTAAAGAAGTTGCTGATCTTTTTATTCAAGAAGTGGTGAGGTTGCATGGGTTCCCTAGTTCTATAGTCTCTGACAGAGACAAAGTCTTTATGAGCCAGTTCTGGTCAGAATTATTCAAACAGGCAAGTACCAAATTGAAGTATAGCAGTGCTTACCATCCTCAATCTGATGGGCAAACTGAAGTGGTGAATAGATGTTTGGAGACCTATTTAAGATGTGTAACAGGCCTGAAACCAAGACAGTGGCCCAAGTGGATGGCTTGGGTAGAGCATTGGTAAAATACAAATTATCATGTCTCGCTAAGGACTACACCTTTTGAAGCTCTTTATGGGAGAGCTCCCCCTGTGTTAGTCAAAGAAGATAATCCTCCATCAGCAGTAGATGAGGTTAATAGATTAACTGCTGAGAGGAATTTAATGTTGAGGGAACTGAAGGAACAATTGCTTAAAGCTCAGGATTTAATGAGAAATCCGGCCAATAAGCATAGAAGGGAGGTGGAATATAAGGTGGGAGATCAAGTGTTCTTGAAGATACAGTCTTACAAGATGAAGAAGTTGGCCAAAAGGATGAATAAAAAACTCAATCCTAGGTATTATGGCCATTTTGAAGTGATCCAAAAGATAGGTGTAGTGGCTTACAAGCTGAAGCTACCTGAGGATTCTAGAGTACATCCAGTGTTTCATGCATCCTTGTTAAAGAAAGCTGTATCACCTGCTGTGGCACCTCAACCCCTGCCAACATGCATGAATGAGGAATGGTACTTGGAACCAACACTTGAGAAAGCAGTAGAATACAAACAGGGAGAGCAAGGTGGGGTAGAAGTGTTGGTAAAATGGAAAAATCTGCCAAACTTTGAAAATTCCTGGGAGTTGGTTGAGAAAATGAGGGTAGAATTTCTTACTTTTCTCCTTGAGGACAAGGAGAGTCTTGAAGGGGGAGAGTTGGTAGATATGGCAAAGTATATCAAAGAAAATATAAGAAAGGAAGAGAGGGAGAGAGTAATAGAATAGTACAAATTCTGCTAGCTGTATTAGCACATGGGTGGGACAGCTGGCATTTGGTGAGTGGAGAGAGAATCTAGGGATTTTCCAATAAATGATTGGTGGCTGACACTAATGAAGATACGTAGAATTTGGTGGATAAGATCCTCTTGAAAGAGACTAAGCCTGTCTATCCTTTTCTTTTTTTCTGCACAATTCTGTTTTCCCTAAATGACTAGATCTTGTTTGATCTCTAGTCGTTTTCATTAAAATTCATAACTTTCCTTATGAATATTGTTATTCTGTTTTTATTCTCTTGTTTATCTGCGGTTAGATATTAAATTGAACCTATCATAGAGTTCCTTACATATTATAGTGAAAATCTAGATCGTTTATCCACTTTCTGTTGTGTGTTGTATGTGCTTTCCTAGAATAATTTTTGGTTATGTTCATATCGGTTTCATTTCAGTTATATGGTAACTTCTCTTTTATATTACAGAAATTTGAGTTCTAATTCCTTGGGAGGCGAAATACCATCAGGACTGGGTCAAAATTCCATGGTTAAAGTGTAAGATCAGATATTATCTACTAGATACAGTTACTTGTAATCTTGTTTTTAGATGTTATCCAAAATGGGGATTAATTCCGCGCACAATGCTGAGACCTGTGCAGGGAGACCTGTTCTGTTGGTAATACCATAAGGAAAATTTAACAATGTTATTTATTTGATATTCTTCTTAATTTTCTCCGAAATGTTTTCTGTAGGGATTTATCCAACAATCAGTTAACGGGCTCTATACCTGACAGTTTGGAATCTTCGAATTTGCTACTAGTGTAAGCATTCACTGTATTGACTAATGCAAACGTTTTAAATAAAAGCCGCGGTTGCGTCATGGTCGCGTAAAGGTTATAATACATTGTATCTGCCAGGCTATTGAATGATAACCTGTTTGAAGGACAAGTGCCAGCGCAACTTTTTTCCGTTGGTGTGCGTGGTGGAGCTATTGAGTAAGTCACTTCAATAGTAATATGTTAGTTTACTCTATCTTATTCAGCATGTTGTGTTCAATTGGCATGTTGGATAATGAGAAATAATCTCTTTCCCTTTGTTCAATTCGATTTGTTTTCATTCAGTCTCTCTGGAAACAAAGGTTTGTGCGGCGTACCATCTCTACCACCATGTTGGAAGTATGGCCGATTATCAACTGGGGCTAAAATATCGATAGTCCTGTCATGTATTTTCGTTTTCTGCATGATCTTGCTGCTGGTATATATCTACTGCATAAGAAAAAGGAACGATTATGACTTTAATCTACCCTATGATATAATGGGTGAGTACAATTTGAATGAAAAATTGTTGGAATTTTGTTAAATGTTATAGTTTGGGATAAAAAGTTATATATGAACCTTGGATATGTGAATCATGTGGCTTCTTTTGCAGCTCTAGCCTCCAAGAGATGCAAATATCAGAGGCAGAAATCATTGGCGCTTCTTGAGCTGGAGAACCGATACGCTAAGGGATTTCCTTCACCTTTTACTCCTCAATAGCATGTTTTGATGTGAATAAAAGACTGGTTTCACAATTTTCAAATAAAATATACATAGTTACTTCATAAAGAATATAGTTCAATGCAAATTATCGAACCTTGACGCTGCGCGACACATGCTGTTTTATGTCTTACATCTATTAGAGACATGCCCCTGGTAAATGGTTCTCATATACTAATATAACCAGCCTTCTGTACCTTTGGATGAATGCCTGTAGGAACTAGGAAAACTCATCAATGTATACCATTTCGGCTGTAAGTTCAGTGCATGTATTTTTCATGTTATCATAATCAGTGAGAGATTACTTTGTAGATTGTACTGTTGAAGCTTTTCTATTCATTTATACCCCCAATTAAAGCATGATAAGTAAAACTTTCTATATTTGATTTGTTCACTAAACCTGAAAATACTAGTCATTTTTTGGGTAACTCTCCTCTCATCAGTTCACTAAACCCGAAAGTACGAGTGAGAACACTTTGTTATTATGGGAAACAAAGGCACTAAATCCTAACAGTTTAGTTCTCATTGACTAAAACTAGTGACTTGGATTTGTTTTTAACTAAAAAGAACCATTTGAATAGGCTACACTTAAACTTTTCCCTATCTTTCCAACTCCATCCTTCAAGTCAATTGCAGAGATTGCATTTACTTCAAAACAACAATTGATCTTGGAAGTTTATTCCCCTAATGTCTCTGGTGGATTGTCGCCTCTGCTGAACTTTAATTCAAGTAAGTTAAATTCTATTAGAAATTAGTTAACAGAATTTGCAAAACTAGTTTAATTAATGTTTGGTTTTTCTAGCTTATTGATGTGGGGCATAGCTTTGATAAATTAGAAGTACTGCATTTTTCACACTTTTGATCACATCGTTAATGCATTAAACACTAACAAGTGTGAAATGTTACATAGGAAGGATAATGAAGCTCTAGCAGATTAATTTTTAAGATTGTTGATATTGACCACTCAAATGAAGAATTCTGGTGAATTATCATTTGAATAAATGATGATAGAAAAGGTATTGCGTACACTTATTCCTCAATATGACATGATTGCAGTGACAACTGAGGAAACAAAATTTCTGAGTAGTTTAAAAATGAAAGAGCTACAAAGAACAATTGAGACTCGTGAATTGAGAAAGGGTCAAAGAGAAACTGAAAAAAAAAATCCAAAATTGATGACAAGCCTCATTCTTCAAAAAGGAGGGGGTTGTTGTGTCCATCAAAAATCATGAAAATGGAAAGAAGGGATATGATAAGAAGAAAATACAATATTTCAACTCTGAAAAATATGGACACTATGCACCTTGGTTGTTGGTTTGACAAGGGAAACCAACCAATGATTGAAGAAGAAGAAAAATTGGCACAAGAAGACTCAAATTATGATATTATTCTATTAATGGTAACAACAATCAGTCATGAGAGCTGCAATTAAGAGCTGCAATTTAGAAGGTTGGTTCTTCACTGGGAAACACATTGGAAAACAAAAATTTCCGTTATGCCAAGCATGACCAATAATAGAATGTATACCTATTGCGGCGATTAATAGTTGATGCAGAATCATGAACGATCAGGAATGCCAAACGAACAACATCACCACTACTTAGTCCATACAAACAAAGTGTCTTCAATCTCAATCTCAGTACTAATAGTTATGAATGAAGACTGAAAGAGATGTGCGGCTAGGATTTTACAAATAGAATTTAGTCAAACATCAAATACTTCAACACAAGGGATTTCCTTCACCTTTTACTTCTGAATAACATGTTCTAGTGAGGATTTCCTTCACCTTTTACTTCTGAATAACATGTTCTAGTGAGGAAAAAGACTAGTTTCACTTTCAGATAAAATATACATAGTTACTGCATAAAGAAAATAGTTCAAACCAAACATTCGGCAACCATGCTCAACCTTGACGCAACACAATACTGCTTCAACAATTTTTTTCCCTTAACTATCTATTAGAGACATACTCTGATAAATGGTTCTCATTAGCTAATATCACCAGCTTTCTGTACCTTTTAATGAATGCCTCTATGGACTAGGAAAACTCATCAATTTATACCATTTCAGCTGTAAGTTCAGTGTCTTGTATTTTTCATGTAATCATAATCAGTGAGCTTTTTTTTTTAGAATGCATTGTTGGAGAGATTTCAAGTCCCATATTAGTTAGACATAGAGCATCTAAAGAGTTTATATAGAGAGTGACACCTTTCACCTTAAAATAAGTTTGGTAAGGATGAGTCAGATCAATCTCTAATATGGTATCAGAGCTCTATTGATCGGACCTTGGGTCACCTACCATTTAAATCCATTCACCAAATTGAAAAAATTTATATAGAGTGCCACCAGTCACCTTACAAGCTGGTTTTGTAAGGATGAGTTAAGACAATTTTTAATATGGCATCAAAGCCTATCAATCGGACCTTAGGCCATCCACTTTGTAAATCCACGCACCAAACCCAAAAGAGTGTTAGGCGTAACAGACAATTTTTAATATGACATCAAAGCCTATCAATCGGACCTTAGGCCATCCACTTTATAAATCCACGCACCAAACCCAAAAGAGTGTTAGGCGTAACAGGGTGTATTGCAAAGATTTCAAGTTCAATATTGGTTGGACATGTAGCAGAGTTTATATAGAGAGTGACACCCCTCACCTTATAAATTGATTTTATAAGAACAAATTAGGTCAAACTCTAATATGTATTGTTTAATCTTTTCTACCCATTTATACCGCCTATTAAAGCATGATAAATATATTTTCTATATTTGATTTGTTCACTAAATCAGGAAGTACGAGGGAGAATATAATGATTGAAACTATAGTAAAAAGGAAAATAATTTTTCGACAAATCTCTCAACTCTTGATGACAAGAACTAGGATAGATGTTGCAAATACATGTGACTCATCTTCAATGTTCAAGATGTGAGTGAGTTTGTAACTAAAAGTACTATTGGTTGAAAATCCATCAAAAGTATAGCGATCAACAATCAACGAATCGAAGAAGAAAGATAAAAAATGTAACACCCTTCTAAACCCCACATGCAATTAACGGAATTATATAAACAATCACCAACACAAAGGTGTCATACTTTATAAAACATAAACTATCCTGCCTCATAACACGGGTTACAACAAACATATTAACCTGTCATCGCATGCTCACCTTCATTTAGGTATCACCGTAGCGGAATTTAACATCAACATTCAAAGAAGGTAGAATAGCATACGACATTTAGTCTTTAAACTTCCATTTTAATAACATCATAAAGAGTCGTAAACAGTTCAACTCAATAACTTAACATATTCAACATAATAAGATTAATCATAAAACATTATAGTTTAACTCAAAACATTCGATTTCAACCCGATATTACCTGATCAGAGCAGAATTCCACTATATAACGACTACTAATGGAAATTAATATAAGGCCACCTTCCACTTACTTCTACAGGGTATACTCCTAAGTATTTGCATGATAACCACGTAGAGGCAACATTCAAACAAAAGGGGTGAGTAATCATAATCAATTATAAATGGCATAAGTGAAAGATAACTCAACAAACATTTATAACCATTCACAATAACAACATGTTACTCTACTCACAGGCATCACATCATCATCATATACAAGGATATTATATAATTCACAATTCGTCATCCAACATCATCATCAACAACAAACAATCAACAATAATGCAATGCACTAACTCAATATGCATGTGGTACCAAGTTATGAACATTCAAGTTTATTTCACTCTCTCTTTTATCATCATCAAATACAGGATCCCCACCATAGGATCTGGTTCACTCTTGAACTGAAGCACAACAAAATTCCCACCCCACCATAAATAACGCTTCACTAATTTCCCACTATAAAATTATATTTTTTAAAAGTTGAAACAAATGAACCATAACTCACGTGGATAGAGGAGCAATATCATGTAGAAGTGTTCAAATTTAAATAGATTCAAATTAAAATTATAAATCGATTCAAAAAAATTAAAACCACACAAAATAGCGCTATCTTCTTTGGGTTTGGCCGGAAGGTGGTCGGTGCTGAGGTAGGCGTGGAGTGGGGTCATCCAGCAGTCAGTATCCCCGATGGCGTTGATGTCGAGAAGGTTAGTGGTTGCGTTGGTACTCGGTTGCGACAAGACTTCTTGGATGACCGACTTGTGGCCGCTTCGCTTTTTGGTGCTTGCCAACTTGGAGAGGATGTCGGCGCGGGTGTTCTGCTCGTGCGGGACGTGCTGAATCTCCGCTGTGTTAAAACCTCGCAGTTTTTCGGTGATGAGTGCTAAGTACTCGGCAAGGTTGTCGTTCTTCGCTTGATATTCCCCTCATACTTGCGAAGCGACTAGCTGGGAATCTGTGTAGATTCGGATGTCTCTGGCCCCGAGGTCAGCTGCCAAGCGAAGTCCGGCTAGAAATGCTTCGTATTCGGCTTGGTTATTAGTCGTTGGGAAGGCCAGCGTGAGGGAGACTTCGATGAGGGTGCCTTCGTCATTGTCGAGGACGATGCCTGCGCCGCTTCCCGTGGAGTTGGAGGAGCCGTCCACGAAAATGGTCCAGATGTGCCTCCTGGTGGTGGGATCGAGTGACGGGGTCATCTCGGCGACGAAGTCTGCCAAGGCTTGAGCTTTGATGGCGTGCCGGCCCTCGTAGGTGATGTCGAACTCAGAGAGTTCTAGTGACCATTTCAGCATGCGTCCGACCATGTCAGGACGACCGAGGAGCTAGCGGATGGGCTGATCGGTGCGGAGCACGATGGTGTGTGCGAGAAATTAATGTCGGAGCCGTCGTGTTGCGGTGATGAGGGCTAGGGCGACCTTCTCGATCAGCTGGTATCGGATTTCGGGGCCGTGGAGGGCTTTTCTAGTAAAGTAGATGGGCTTTTGGCCCTCTCCGGCTTCGCTGACGAGGATGGAGCTGACGGCTTCGTTGGCCACGACCAGATAGAGGTATAGGGATTCGCCTGGCACGGGACGTGTCAGC